TAGTAGCATTTAACAAAGATGAGAAAGCAACATAATGAAAATCCTGTTTATACAACATATTTAGAACATTCACTCAGAATAGTAATATATAGGATTTTGTAATGATTATGAGTGGTTTTCATATTTTGACTTCTTAAAAATAAAAATGTGTATAAATATTAAGTCAGCAACTATACTAACCTATTAAACTAATAAAAGTTAATCAGTCATTTGCTTTAAAGCTATATCATAACACATTATCTCCTAAGCAATATATGAGGCACTTAAAATAGAATAGTGAAAAATTACAGTTCCAGCCCTCCTTTACCTGAAATGCAAGGAGGAAAGCCACAATTAATAAATTGGTCACACAATCATCAATAGAAAGTTTTCACTGTGATTTTAATGCTAAATAAAATGTACATGGTACAACTAATACTTAAAACACAGTGTGTCTACCTAGTCAGGATTGAGAAAGTGAAGCTTCCTTAGAGATTTTTGATGGAAAGCCTACACAGGTGATAAATAAGCACAGTAAGGAGAGTTGAGTTTCGAGTTGAGGGATCCAGTTATAAAGATGACAGTCAGCTAGGTACCTAGAAACAAGGAGTGCAAAAAATACACAACGCGTGTTTAAACTTTTAAAATTATTAGAGTAGAGGATATGCTGCCATTAATACCTCTCAAAACACTCCCCCTCGCTTCCAAATCTTCACATTGCCCTTGCCACTGCCTGGAGCAGTTCTGGAAGTTCCTTCTCGAGAGTATTTTTAGTTGTGCTGTCATGGCTGCCCAATGTCCTGAAGTGATTCCAAACATTTACCCTTCCTGGCCGTTCTGACTTTGAGGAAAAGCCAGAAGTCACACGATGTCAAATCTGGTGAACGAGGTGGATGAAGACACACCACAGTGTCTGTATAACTCTGCTTTTCCCTTGGCAGTACCGTCAGCGTAGTCATTATTGTACCTCATAAAGCACACTTGTGAGCAGCGACTTCCAGAACTGCCTCAGAGAGCGGCCAGACGCTTTCTGAAGTGAAGGATGTATTTTAGAGGGGTTAGTGACAATGTGTCAAATGTCATTTTACTGTAACATTTTTTAATTTAAACTTTCCCTGTATATTTTGATCACCTCTTGTATGTACTGAATGTTGAGATGTTCCAAACTTAGTGAAAAAGAAATTGCTTTTCAAAAAGTCACTATAACTGCTCATTTCTCAGTTACACCCTTACTACTGCTGGTGAGAGTGGGTTATTCCCAGAGGATTGAAAGCATTAGTTAGGGAAGGGCCACTTACATTAGGTCAGTGAGCAGTAAATGAATCTAAGAAAGTCCACCACACTGTGGAGGGACAAAATGGTAGGGAAGTGTCTGATGAGGACGTGAAGACAAACAATTCACTGCTACATGCAGTTGGACTTCGTAAGCCCTGTATATCATGTATCAGTAGATATTTTCCTGAATAAAAATAAATATACTGTCAATAATATATCTTCAAAATAAATATATATTGTAATTCCACATAATCATATTCTAATGGTAAAAACTTCAATAACTAGTTGTTAATATGTATTACTAGGTATTAATTTGTAATATACTAGAGAAAATCTAGTCATATCATTGACTGGCATTTTTTATCAAAATGTTTTATTATTTTTCAATTCAGTCTCTTTAGAGTGCTCCTGGGGAGTGGATGGGTCATTGTAAATGAGTAAACGACAAGATAAACATTTAAAAAGTATGCATTGTGCCCTGAGTTATTGCGCTTATTTATCTGAATTAGCCTGATCTTTTAGCTAGTAGCTTTGCCTCCTCTTCATTCCTTGTTAGAAGGACTTATTTAGGAATTTTTTTCATGAATCATTCCCATCCCTGCTTCCTTTTTTCTACAGTATGTCTTTGCATGTGTTTAGACATGTCTGTCCTCATGTACTACTTACAGGCTTAAAAAATGGAACTGATTTAGGATAATGTAGTATGCTTGGTATCAAATTTTCCCTTTAGTTTTAAATGATTTTTAACAAAGATTCATTTACTGTTTTAAACATCATCAAGCTTAATTTTCCTCCTAAAATTTCTGTGAGAAAAACAGCAAGATAGTCCTTAAAATCAGGTGAAAATAAAGACAAAGTGAAATAAGGCAGTGTAAGACAGTGACTAACTCTCGGTGTACTGTTGAGTCAGTGAGTCTTAGCCTGCCACGGAGGGTACGGTGTCTGACTCAGAAATCCTGTAAGAGCTGGGCTCACGCTGGGTGTCTCTTTCTCACGGGGTGCCTATAGATAGGTAGTTTAGCTTTCTATACAAAACAGTAGTCTTCATGTAATCAGACTTCTAACTCGGCAGTTATCTTTTCCCATGACTCAATTCCATCAGCTGGGGTGACGCTCAAAGTTTGGTAAGATATTGCCTCAAAAGCTGCACAGTATCACTTCTGCCATTATCTACCAAGTTCAACAGCTGCAGGACAGCTCAGATTTAGGGAAGTAAAAGAACAGCCTTCATTTTGCAGGGAGAAATTAATTGCTTATACAGAAAGGAAAGGAAGTAGGGGTGGCCCTCTTAGCCTCAGACTAACACAAAGTCCTTAATGTGTTCTTCAAATGACATCTCTGCCTTTCTATATAATTTTAAATTGCCTTTCCCTGACACACACACTTTTTTCTTTCTTTTCTTCTATCGATAGAAACTGTTTCCTAGATTAATAGTGAAATAATGAAGGATCTCTGCACATTTTGCTTCTTTAACAAATCAGATTTTAGAATCACATCTGTATTCAAATTTCAGCTCTGCTATACATACAAGAATGAATTTGACAATTACCTTCTTTTCACTAGCATGGACTCTGATTCCCAGTGCCCAACACGAAATCAAATATACAGTAATGACTTTGACTGACTATTTTTTTAACTAAATAATCTTCATTTACCTCTCTTTGAAGTATGGATAATAATTACCACCTCAGAGTGACAGACTAATAAATAAACAGGTTAATGTTTTAAAATAGCTTATAGCACCCCACTATAGTACATGATGTGAGCGTATGGTAGCTGTTACTATAAAAACAGTTAATATCATAACTGTATTGTTATTATTGTGGACACTTCTCTGTTACTATCACCGATGTAACTTGTTTGATACCTTCCTCAGCACCTAGATCTAGGCTGTTTTCCTCAGCACATCATTTGCACTATTTTAATGGGTTGTGATGTTTTTGGACGTATTAAACATATTTGTAGGTAAGGCCTAGGCCTTGCCAACCTTAACAATCATGTTCTCCATTTCATTGCTGAAAACCAAAAAGTCACTCAAAACGACCCCACCTTTGAAAGACCACACATTCTGGCACTTTCCCTTTGTAATACAAGTTCTACTCCTGTACCTTTGCCCACTGTACTCCAGACTCCTGAGTCCTCCCTGATTCTCATCTGCCACCTATCATTCCGCTGTCCCCACCCCGTACCCCGCCCCCCCCGCCCTTGGTGTGACCCACCTCCTCGGCGTCTGTAGTGATCAACACTCACACCTCCACGCCCCTGCGTCTAAACGCATGCCCTAACCTCAGCTCTCGCTTTCCTCACCTGCTGACTTGCTTGGTTCCGCTTCAAACTGACGTAATCCAGCAGAGTCCGGAACTCTGTCCTATTCGAAAGGCTTTGTATTCTCTCGCCGCATCCTCCGGCCCTGCTCTCCCAAAGCGCCCTTCGTGCCGCCCGCCTCAGGGGCGTCCTCTATACGTCTTCCCACAGCCCCGTTCTTCTACCTGTCCCCTTCCAGGTGGAGCGAACAGTCCCTTTCTCTCAAGTCTGTGCTCCCTGCCGTCTCCTCCTCTGCCTCTTGGCCCCGGGTAGAACGCTTATCCTTCATCTCCTAGAACTGTCATTTACCCTAAAGAGGCTTTGGGACTTCTTGTCCGGTTCACTGTTCTTTCTTACTGACAGTCTCTACCCAGAGGTCTTCACTGCCTGCTCTGTCTCGGGCACTGAATCACCTCCTGACTCCTTGAGGTGAACCTCAGTCCACACCCCTGAGGAGACCCCAAACCTGGAGAGCAGCTCACTGCATGGGAAATATTCGGTAGTTATAACTTAAATGTGCCGGCGTAATATTTTTATTCAAAATAAAGGCCTTCTTGTAACTTGAATTGTTCGTGTTATGGCGTAGAAAAACGCCAGTAAGAAAACTGATGTTGCTTAAGCCACTAGTTGTAAATACCTACGTGCTTTAAATGCTATTAAAATAACTATTTTAGGAATAATGACACAATGACACATTTCTCATCAAACCAAATCATGGCTATGCATTGAAGATGAAGTCCATTTATGTGCAGATTAATCACCACTGTTCCCTGCCATTCTCTCATCATCAAAAGGCAATTAACATCCTCTGATTCACTACCTTTTCATGCCTACAAAGTATGCGGCTAATTGGTCTCCTTTGAATTCTTCACAGAATTTGTGTATGCCTGACCTCTGATATACGTACTTGTTTTCCATACTGTCATCATTTTACATCCTTTTGTATCTCTTCTGTTGGAGTGTGAGCACTTGGTAGTCTGTATCACAGTGCTTGTGCATCGCAGGCTTTTTTACCATGAAATTAGCCCCATGAACAGCTTTTTGAATGAATGGAATTGTTTTTATTCTTTGCAGCACTGTCCCTCACTCTCTGCTGCTGCCTCTGTAAACTGATTGATCTCAGCAGCTGTAGTTGATATTGACATTCACATCCTTGTGTCTGCTTTTAATTATTTTCTCTTTCCTTATAAAGTATAGTGCTAATTTGTAGCTGCCTCTAGACACAAAGTGTCAGAAAAATATTGACTCTATAATTAAGTTCCCCCCGGAAATTCTGGAAACCCATTTGCATCCCAGAACTTTTTGCTGTCAATTTTCATTACTGAATACATGTTTCATTAAGATGATTACATAGATCGATGAGATCCACACTGCAAATACAGTTTCTCACGGCTCCGCACAATGCTCTGTACTTAGCCTTATCCATCGCCTTTTGCCTGTAGGTCCCCCAGGCCCGCCCGGGATAGTAATTGTTGAGGAAATCACGGAAAGCACAGCCACGCTGTCCTGGAGTCCGGCAGCTGACAATCACAGTCCCGTCATCTCCTATAACCTGCAGGCCCGCAGCCCCTTCTCCCTGGGCTGGCAAACCGTGCGGACAGGTAAGAGATCCTAGGGCAACGGTCCGACACACCGGAACAGCTTCCCGCCTGATGAGATAAAGTTGTTAAGGGGCTCACTAGGATTTCTTTGGGGTTCTGGAAACTTGTCATTATTTATTACAACAGAGAGTACCGTTTACTCTTTTTGTGAACCTGGGAAATACAAGCACCCTCACTGTCCTCTTTTCGCAGTTTCCAAAGAGGGATCACATCTTGTTTGTTTGTTGAAATAATTTTAGAATCACATGGAAGTTGCAAAAATAGTAGACCTACTCCTCAGATTCTCCTTATTATAACATGCTGCATAAACATAATATAATTATCAAATCCGGAAGTGGACCTTGGGGCAATATTGTCAAGGAAACTTCAAGCCTCAATTAGGTGTCACCAGTTTAACTGGCAATATCTGTTAAAGTAGAGTCCTATGATAAACTTTGAGATTTTATTGCATGGATTCCAGTAACCTCCAAGATAAGAACTGTTCTACTGCCCTAACTCCTTGAGCTACCCCTTTATAGTCATTCATGTGTTTTGTATATAAAAATAAATCTAATGAAAGTTATGTTATTTAAAACAGTCCAGTGTTTTATTGTCTATTAGGATTTTATTACAGTTGTTTATTATATATTCATTTTTATGGTACTAGAGATTTACTCCAGAGCCCTCACTGAACTACAACACACTCTTTTTTTAAATTTAATTTCAGACAGGCTCTAAGTTGCCCAGGCTGTGTTCAACCTTGGTGTTTCTACCTCAGAAATACCGGGAACACACCCAGCTAGTTCCTTTATTTTAAAGAATATTTTTATCCAAAATGATTTTCTTATGTTGTAAAATTAAACTTTTCTTCTCTCTCAGAATGTGATTGTGCAATAGGAATATGTAAAGTCACCCTTACTTGGTGGCTATTAGCTATGTATTTAATATAATATTTGAAATCTTTATAAGACTATAGAATGCAATTTTCAGAAGCAGTTGTCCATACCAGCTAGGGATGCATACTTAAATTTTACTTCAAAATTTATTTATCTATTTTGAAATAAATGTGAGGATCAATAAAATATCTGAGTTCAGAAACAATAAAGATCAACCAGAATAGTATAGCAATGGAGTAGTCCATTTGTTCCTTAGATAAATATAATTTGAGCAGAATGCTATTTCGGTGTAATGTTTATGCTCGTAGAGGAAAATACATTTACTTACATGTAGAATATAATCCAGATTTTACTGATATTTAGTATTCTGCATTAATTTAGGCCTCAGTGTGATTATCATTATAGTGTAATATATATATATGTATACACACACACATATTTGTGATATTATATATGTCTCAGTTCTGGTTTCATTGTAACCTTGCAATACCACTGCAGACCCAAGAAGTGTGGGAAAATCTATGGAGATGGTGGATTCAGGAGGGACACAAATGCACACCACAAGCCAATTTATGAAAGAATTCTTCTAACTTCCACCCTAGTGCGCCCATATTATCCTTAGTGGCACAGATCAAAACACTTACTACTCCGTAGCCTGGAGAAGGACTCAGTGTCAGCACTGGTGTTCTACCTATCCCAGTGATGGCGAACCTTTTAGAGCTCTCAGTGATACAGACAGACCACTGAGGCCGTATCTTCACCACCACTGAGCAATCCGTCCTCCTGCCTGAAGCTACGTTCCTGCTCACTTGTGCACAAGACCCTCGCAGCTCACTTCTAAGTGCATTCTCTGAACACATGTCAATGTGTATAAACTGTACTTTATATCCCTAGTACTCATAATATCTTTAACTATATACATACTTTCCTTGCTACATTTATTCTCTAAGTTCTATCTCTCGTTTTTCCTTGGTCCATCTGTTTCTGCTTTTTGTTTATGTGAGCGTGTGTTCATGAGTGTGTAAGCATGCACACACCTGTAGTGTTTAATTATTTGGATTAAATGCTGCATTGGTTTATTTTAGAAGTATCTACTGAAAGTGTGCATCTTTATTCTTCTAGTCTAATATTAGCACTAGGAACACATTTATATTGGGAGCTCTTTTCTAATCGTGTTCTTCAAAGACTGGCTAAAATCCTGTGGTTATGGTAGGTTTATAAGTAAATGCTCTGCTTCATAAATATATTTCTGCAAATAATCAGTTTTACTCACCCTGCATGGTGCTAGGTATTTAGCAGGATGGAGCCCCCTTAATGTAAGGCAATGGTAGTCAAAATAAGTGCTAAAACAGACATTCTATTAAGGAAAAACAGCTCTTAAAGACAGTGTTTAAAAGCACTTCAAATCCTTTATATACCAAAATGAATATAAAAATAAAAAATCCTTATTTTTGTTAAAGTAAAAAGTTACATATGGACCTTCAATCTAACCACATCTTAGAATTAACATAGATACTTGCTCCTACAAGTAATATTTAAAGGTAAAGATAATGTATTCATCTTGAAGAAGATATGAAAATAATCATAAGAAATATTTTCATTTGCAAATCCCTTTTTTTTTTTTTTGGTAGCGGGAATCAAACTTGGGACCTTGCGCTTGCCAGGCAGGCACTTGTGCTGCTGAGCTATATCCCTGGCCCTGCAAATCCTTTTTCTTCTGAAACAAATTCCTTTTAATTTAGAAACCTGACTCTTCCTCATGTTATTCAGCAATCTTAGATGATGCAGTGTAGTATTTGACTGTATCTGCTTAAGAATATCAAATCACCTATAAGCATAGAATTGATTGGTCTCTATTTACTTAATTCAGCTATGTTTTTAAAATACCCCTCTACTGGTTCATATGTCTTCTATCTGTGGGCACATTTTCCATGGATCCACTGATTAAATTTGTCCATTTAACAGGTTATTTTGTATTTCACTCATTAAATTCTTGTGTGGGATTCTTCTACTAGGAAAGGCATTTTCACAAACAAGATTGTTTCCCTGAGTCAGTGTGAGGTCCTCTACTGTCTTTAATCATTAGCACGTTCTGTCTGAAACATATTTCATTTGAAACTAAGTTGTCCCTGCAGTTCTCAAAATAATATCTTTTTGAAGATACACTTGCAAAGCTGTTAGAAACAATTGCTTTGTTATCAATCATTCATTACCTTGAATCTCCACAATTTTGCATTTAAAGTTAAAATTCTGATTTTATAAAACAAAACTTTGTTTCTAACTCATTTCACAATACTTTCTGAATTATAATATCTTCAGTTCATGTTTTCTACAAATATTTTCTATCCCTGATAAGAAACATTGAATTTGGACTTTCCAAAAAAGTTTTTTAATGTGATTTTAGGGAGTTTAGAATCCTGGAGAGGGTGTGAGCTTTGTGAGGGTATCTTTATAACATACATTAATGACCAAGAGAATATAAATGTGTGTAGCCTTGGAAAGAAGGATACTTTTATATATATTCTAACATTAATCCTGTAGTAATTATATCCAGATACAAAGAGGAACTAACTCTGCACATTTTGATTACGCCATACACCAACAATTGAACTGTGTTTTCAACCATCTAATAAAGTCTGTTGAGTACTTTGAAAGTAGTATTTTAGGTACTTGGGATATATTGAGAAGCAGAAAAATCTACAGCAAAATCCCTGCCTTTATAAACACTGCGTCCCCACGGATAAGGGTAAACAATAAAGGGAATATAAGAAAATTGTGTAGTATCTAAAAGATGGATGAATACGGTAGGGGAAATTATATTGAGTAAAGGGGACCAAATTATACTGAGTAACGGTAGGGCTACATATTGGCTTTGATAATGTACAGAATGCTATAGGCTGGTTTTATTAAAAATCAGAAATTTATTTCTCACAGTTCTTTTTTCTGGTGTGCAAATGTTCACCTCCTTGTATTCTCACATGACAGAGAGAGAGAGAGGAAGAACATGCACACATGCACACTTTGTTGCCTTTTCTTATACAGACATTGAGATCAGACTGCAGCTCTTATGACTTTATTTAACCTGATGATTTCCTTAGAGAAGCATTACATACAAGAGATTTCAAAGACTAGTGAGGCAATAACAGAACAAAGCTCAGAAGATGATAGAAGATGAGTCTGGAGAGAAACTGTAAGGATCAAATCATGACAGATACCCTGAAAGAAATGGAGAAGCGCTGCAGGGTTGATAATTTAAGTACTCTCTTTTAATACATTCACTCAACCCATGTTAAAAACACACTATCACAGTACTGGTGACCTACGCACGTACACCGCAGCAGGCTTTGTTATGATTGAAAGCTCTGGGCTCTTGGAAAGGAGAGCTGAGAGTCACTAACCTCGTCAGGAAGCTATTACAGTTGAGAGATGTTAGTGCTTCTTAGTGGTGGAAGTAGAATTTGCAAAACTTGTCAGAATTTGAAAACATGTGAAAAGTAAATCCATGGGATTTCCTGACATTATGGATGTAAAAAGTGCAAGAGAAGAATAATTAAAGGATTACCAAAAAAATTTTTTACTTGACCAACTCTACTATAGAAGCACTGTCATGTCATAAAAAATTTCACAAAATTGGAACAAATGATGGAATTAGATCACAAGTATGATGTATCTATTAGACACCCAAATGGAAAGCTGAAGGAGGAGGGAGGACACCTGAGTCTGGACTGTAACAGGCAGACTTAGCACAACATTATAAACTGGAAACTTATTGGTCTATACATTGCATTTAAAATATTAAGATTACGTGTCTGTTCCAGACAAGTAAGTATAAATTAAAGAAGAAAAGAATATGAAAATTCACCACTCTGAGAGTAAAATGTTGAGAGAAGAACAAATCAAAGGAGACAGAGACAAAACAATTATTGAGGTGACAGTAAAGTCAAATAATGTGATTTCCAGCCAGGCGTGGTGGTGCAGGCCCGTAATCCCAGCACTCAGGAGGCTGAGGCAGGAGGACTGTTATAAGTTGGAGACCAGCCTGAGCTACAAAGTGAGCTCAAGGGCAGCCTGAACTGCATAGCGAGACCCTGTCTCAAAACGACTAAAAAAGAAAAAAAAATGTGATTTCCTACAAGATAAAAGAATAAAGTGTCTTGGGCTGGGGATTTAGCTCAGTGGCAAAAGCGCCTGCCTGGCAAGCGCAAGGTCGTGAGTTCGGTTCCCGGTACCGGAGAAAAACCAAAGAATAAAGTGTCTTGAGGAAGGCACAGTAACTGATTGTGTCAGATGTTGATAACATGTTCAGTAAAATGAGGACTGCAAATTGACCAATGAAAAAAAGAAAGGAAAGAAAAGTAATCAATAGTTTCAGCAAAATGGACTCACCAGTGACCTTGGCAATAACAGCTTTGGTGGAACATCAGGCAGTAAAATCTGACAAGAGCTCAAGAGACAGTGGGCAGAAAAATTAGTACAGAGGACTCCTAAGAAGGTTTGCTGCAAAGAAGAATACAGAAATCATCATATTTTGAAACCACAAGTGCCATAATTTGCTTATGAACTGTAGTGAGACAAAGGGGAAAGAAAAGTATCCAGGACAGCCCCCACCATTTTGGCTACACCTGTAGGACAGCAATTGTTAATCCCTAAATAAGAGTCCTTCACATTTTATTCAAATAGCAATATATAATAGAACCTGTGAGTCTAGGAAAGCAATTCATGGCTGAAAAATGTTGGCATCTTCTGCATACAAAAGGAAATTTAAAATCATTAGACAGCCTGAGATCCCTAGGCAGTAAGAAAATGGGAGAGAGCTGAGCGTCTGGGACATCTCCGGAATATGAAAGGAATGCAGCAACAGAGACTGAGAAGGCATAGTCAAGGATGAGAGGAACAGAAGCTTAAACAGCATTTCAGAAGGAGAGAGTGATCAGCTGTGTCACGGATGAACCCAGCCATGGGGATCTGACTTTCAAGTCTCAATAACAGAGAGCCTTGGTAATCCTTACAGGAGAAGGTACGGTGGAAATCCGAAAGAGCGAGCCTGATCAAAGTGGGTTCAAGAGAGAATGGGAGGAAAATAAGACAAGTAACAGCACAGGCAACTCAACAAGGTTTGTAGGAGAGACCAAAAGCCTAAGTCAAGACTGGCACAGGAAAGATGAGGAGAGCTCCATTTTTCATTTCTGTAAGAAAAACGCCTGCGTGCTTGTGTTCTGCCCAGAAAGATCCGTTGGCCAGGGTGGGGATGGCAGGGGGGATATTTTTCTCCACACATATTTTAGGAAGACTATCCTTTGAGAAGAGGAAAATGTCCTCGTTACTATTAAAATAAAATTCTAGAGGGGTGCTCAGAGAAGACAAGAAGCGCATAGGGGATTTTGCTAATGATGGGTCATGAACTTCAAAGGGAGGGATGAAAGGACTGTGAGAAGGAAGGAGGGGCCTAAGCGGGGCAGTGGAGGAAACACGCGACTTCTATGAAGATCAGGTAGAGATGGGCCGGCAGCTCTGAGCTGGTGGAAGTTACTGACACAAATAGAAGTGAAAGAGATAACTCCCGGCGAAGCCAGAGCAGGTAAAGGCGACACAGCGTAGGATGGGGCTGCAGAGAGCTGAGCATCTGGGATGCTCCTGCCTTGACATGTCACAGGTCAACATTTCATCAATCTGTACACTAAACAGTGTGATTTCCCCACCTCCCAGACCCCAAGAATTTTCCTTCAAATACAGTAAGACACAGGCTTTGTGCTCTTCATCTTTACGTCACCACTTAAGAAAAGCAGCTCTGGGCTCACTGAGATATGTCAGGCAGGCCACAGCGTGACGCTCTGCTCATTCACCTTTCAGAGAGCCGCTAATTTGGGATAACATTTTTGATGCATTTCAGAAGAGATTTTTGTGGAAGATTTAAGATGGTATAATTTCTCCTTGCATAGTAAAACTGGACTATCCTTGAAGCAACAGCCCCAACCCCCATCTTTAGCTCCCCAGTTGTACTCCCACAGAAATCAAGGGCCAACGCTAAGCCAGAGGCTCCTTGCTCATCAGCATATTCCCCACGTTCCCCCTTTCACCCCATAACAAGCTTTAGGACACTGTCTTAGACACAGAGATGAGAAAATAGAAGTGGCCTCCAGTGGCCCATGTGTTCCATGTAAAAAGCATTGCACTACATGATTGCACTAATAAACAATTTTATATTTTTATAAAAATCTTTGTGCAGAAGTCACTCCCACGTAGAGATTATACCTTCCACTTAGATCCCACAAATTGTAAGGGGTTTTCTTAATTAGAGAAATATATTCTTATTCTGCTCTTTGGAACTGTCAAGTAATAAAATATATTTGCCAGAACTGGGGAAAACGAACTATTCAAGAAATTTCCCTAGAAACTGAAGAAAATTCTTTGTTTAATTATTCTATGTCTTGGCCTTTTCTCTTGGGCTAAAAGGTCGACAAAATGATTTTTTAATAGTTAATGGCAAGGTATATAATGTCCAGTTATGTATAAAGATGGAAGAATATGAATTACTCTGATATCTTTGACACATACAAGTACTTATTTCCCAAAAGTTGATTTTCATTTTACTGGTGGTTCTGCAGATGATGCCCTAACAGGGCATTAGGAGAAATTATTAATTTCTACCAGTAACGGTGACATCCTTGGTGATCATGTGCAGTATTTTTCCAGTCTTCCTAGTGATATGAAGTGATCTTTCTCCGTCTAGTCCCAGAAACCATCACAGGAGACATGGAATCAGCCATGGCAGTGGACTTAAACCCCTGGGTGGAATATGAGTTTCGAGTGGTGGCCACCAATCCAATTGGGACCGGAGACCCAAGCACCCCATCACGAATGATCCGCACAAACGAGGCAGGTAAGGATTTGGAGACTCAGAATTCGCTTTGAAAGCAAGCTTGCATAACTATGATTGCTGTACTGCTTGCCACTGTATAATTTGTCCAGATATTCCTACTGAGATATCACAATACCACATCCTTTAAAATCATTTTTTCAGTTTTCTTGGTTTGGGGTCTTTTTCTCCTTGTTTCTGCTAATTCAAGCCTCTGAATACTTCAGCTTTCTCTCAACCTTTGTACTATCATCATGTTACCATGCAAATGAATTAACTTATTCTTCTAATTACATACTTATTCAATGTTGAATACCCATAAATTAAAATAGATCAGCTCACGTGATCCTCCAGTGATAACACTTTCCTCTAACTATAATCTGCTCTGCTAGAATTCTTTTATGTTGCCCTTTACCACCTGCCCTGGATAAACCACACTCTGCAAAGACACAGTCCTTGCTTGACCTATTGCCTCCATGGAAGCCTATGTGTATAATAAATGCCTGTCTGCTCTCTGACCTACAAAACAAAGCACTCCTTTGGTCTTTTCGAATGAGCATCTCTGGTAAAAGTTATTTCTAATGACTACATAAAAGGAATTAACAGCTTTATTTAAAAACAAATTAAGATAGTTTGCCCACCACCTCAAAATAACAGAAGCATAAAGAAATAAAGAATAATGAAGTTTTTGAGTGGAATTTTAGTTACTTTGGACAAAGTCTTATTGAGCTCTTTATCTCCCTGGAAATCCTGTAACAATTTTGTTAAGAATTAGGAAAGAAGTATTAGAAGCTTCCCAAATGAATGATAAATGTTTAAGGAGATGGAAATGTTAATTATCCTGATTTGAATCATTCTACACTTTACACAGATATCAACTTATCATTTGTACCTACAAATATATACAATTAAAATATATAAATAAAGAGTCTATTGAGAAAGTACCCACGAAGGCAGTAACTTCAGTGAACACAAACTATAATTTAATGACAGCGATGTGAAACCAATAGAGAAGTAAGGGACGAGGGATGAAGTATCAGATACAGAGAGGAAAAACCAATTTTTAATGATTTTTGTACTTGATAATGATATAAAACTCTTGAAAAAGTGCATCAAAAGTGAAGACTTTGTCTAACCTCCTGTTTTATCTTAGGGACCTAAAGTAGCGTCTGGTACTCAACACTCTTGTTCTTGCCCTTGTGCGCCCCCACCTGCACCTGTGCTGGTTAGAGACTCTTGAGCAGTGAAGACTAATTGCATCCGTTTTATATCATAATGATAGATTTGGACTAAAAATAGAATTGTTCACTTCTGAAACATTAAACAAAGTTTATAATAATTAAACTAAATTGTTACAATAGTTGAGCCTCACTTGTCTAGCCCCACTGAAGAAAGAAAGAATCACAAATGGTCAATTTATTGCAGTAAGTGCAAATAACCGTACAAAGGGTTTTTCAATGTAAAAAAAAAAAAAAAAAAAAATTAAGCAACCAAGGAAACATGAGGTAAAATATTCAAAATTGGTTGGGAAAAATTTTATCCACAAAAAACTCAACTTTTCTGCTTTTGTGATTTGCTTCTATAAGTTTTTTTTTTTTTTCTGCCCGTTTCAATAGTGTGAATTTTAAATTGAACATTAATTGCCTGGTTGGATTTTCAGGCTTCCATAAAATCATCCATGCTTTCACTGTGTACAGGTGTTCATTAATTAAGAGCATAGCAGGTTAGTCTTTCCTCATTTTATGCACTCAGTGCAGATACTGAAATGACTGCCAATCGTAATACTTATACTCGCATATTTTCAAAAAAGAACTGCTTTACTTTGCATATTGTTAATTGTGTTTAAACAAAGACAAAAATTACTGCCTAATTCAGAGACCCTCTATAAATATTCATTTCAAACATAAATAATCCACTTGGGATGAATAATCCTTTCAAACTTTTTATAGTATAAATCTTCTTGTGCTATTAAAAAGCATTTTAGCAAAAAAAAAATCCACTTTTATATTTTAAGCTAAGTCGTATTTAGATGATGAATTTAAAAGACTTCATCTATTTCTGCAGCTACCTCAGTCATTTTCTCTCTGCCTCTCCATTTTATCCTGAGTCTATCTACGTGACATACTTTAGTCCATTAAAATCTTACAGAAGAGGAGATAAATAGCATGAAAAATGCATGAACTGCTCTCTGCGGAAACCAAGTTGAGGGAGACTGGTACTGCCTACACTACGCTTCTTCAGCTTCAATACCACATACAACTAGAGCTACTAATGGTGTTGAACCAAGTGCTGAGTTTTGTGTCTGTCTTGTCAGGCAGCACAGATTAAAAGGGACACTAATATTCTGAGACATCCTCTCAAGGGATGCACTGCCTCTGTTAAGTACATATCCAGTGTTTTAAGAGACGAGATGAGCCTCTCCTAACGGACCAACTAAACTTCGAAAATTGACAAAGCTGCCTGGGAGAAAAATGTCGCAAATTAGAATGTTAACTTGAACAATTTGTGCCCTTTTAAAATTCTCTTATTTATTAGAAAACTCTAAATTCTAAGGCAGTTTTAATAAAGCATTTCTACCTTAAAATTACTTTTTTCCAAAGCAACAAAAAATGTTCTTTGTATTTTCTTTCAGTGTTTGAATTTTCCAGTCTTCAAACACCTTGGTAGTTAATAAAGGTAATATAGATTGGCTTGATTCAACTTTTTAGTATTAGTATTTTAATACTGAGATATAAATATATTTGTATAAATACATAGTTCTAATGTAGTATATATTTATGGTATATTTATTTATAATGTAATTTTCTTACTAGTTTTGATTAGATAGTGATTAAAGAGAAAGACAAAGATAGATAAATTTGTGTTTAATTAATTATGCTACTATCATCAAACTAACATAAATTTGGAAAGAACTAATCTAAAGGTTTGTGATTTAATAAGCTGAGATTCAGCAGAGTAAAATCACATTTTAGGAAATGAATTTGTTTTGTTTTGTTTTGGTGTTGGCCCCAGAATTCAAACTCAGGACCTTGTACTTGCCAAGAAGGCACTTGTGCTGCTGAACTATATCCCTGGCCCAGAAGTTGAAAAACACACTATTGTAAAAATGAAGTAATATAAAATAAGCACATCAACAGTAATTATCTCCAATCACTTGAACTTCAAGATAAATTACAAATTTATAACACTTGAAAGGTAAATGAAAAGGGGAGAAGTTAGAATTAACTATGTACTTGTCATTCAGAAAAATTTTACACTTTCTGTAGTATAATGTCTATTATCTCCAAAGCTTTTGGTGTAAATATCAATATTGGTAATTTAGTTATTTCAAATTTTAATGAAAGAGACACTCATGCACATTTTAAAGAGAAGTTTTACCTATAATTACGTGTTTGGGTTTAGATCATGATTAATGTTCTGTTGAGCCATTTACTAGCATTGTAAACATAAGCAAGCATATTAAGACTGATTTTTCTCACTTATAGAATGGAGAAAATACTAAAACTATTTCATTTGACCATTATGTTAACAATATAATCTGTAAATACTAGCAGCTATTTTATTATCATCGTCAGTTTAAGTGAGTCATTCCTTTATAAAATGGGAATTTAAAAAACAGTAATCATGGAAATGCAGCTCTTTTTCTATAGAGGACATATTTTCAAGTTCTACTTACACATACCCTCTACTCGTCTTCCCCACCCCATGTCTGGCCTGACAGGCTGCTTCATACTCTTCCCTGGCTAGTACTGAGTCTGTAACTAGATTTTCACAGTGCCCCAGCAAATTATACTCATCTTTGTTTCTTGTACCGTCAACATGGCAAAAGGAGCCAAGAAAGATCTATGAAAAGTACCTTTTCAAAGGCCATATGTGTTGAGGGAACGAAAGCTTTTGTCCAAGAGAGGGACAGAAGGGGGCCTGAGTGGGTAGTGATCAACCTGAAGAGTCCCTGACCCAACCCCTTACAGGAAGAGCCCCCATTCTGTATTTGTGCCCTCTTGCTACATGACTCACTTCCCCATTTGATCCCAGTTTAATCAATCTTACCTGAACAGTTCTTATTGGCTGACCGTAGTTTTGTCCCACCTCATGCCCACCTTGTAATTTCCCATTTTCCCCTACCTTGGACCCGCCTCACCTCATGGTTTTGCTCTATAAAAGTCCCTAGAGAAGACAGAGTCTTGGGCAGCACATTCAGCCCCACTTCTGTCCCTCGCTTGGACAGAAGCTTTCTTTCCCTCACAAATATATTCTGCTCTTTAAAAGAAAAAAAAGACCATATGCAAATTCTTTTTCCACAAAGAGCCTTCCTTTGCCCAGGACATGGAACTCTACCCCACCATTCTCTTTTGACTCTGAAGGGAAAAATGGTGTACACATATTTCTGGCCACACAAGGAAAGCACTGTTTCTACATTTAAGAGATCATGTTCCACCAGATAATTGTATCAAATGCACACCTGGATTGAAGTCTTTTCTAACGTTAGTACTTCCTGCTATTTATCATGCCTATATGGCTGGACTACATGGACGGAACTCTACTATAGGGCCTAAACAAAACCTAGTGATATTTCCTCCGACTATTGGCCTGTACTGTGCTCCAGCCATTTCCAGCTTCAGCCTCATTTATTTCTCTGGCACTGTTAGGTTCTAGGGCAGTCTCATTTGCAGGTATTGAAAAATTCCAGTTTAATTTGAATAAAAATGACAACGTCTCATCCGATATCACGCTCTCCCCTTGCATCCCAGCACAGGCCTGGCCCAGGAGCTATAATCTCCTTGTGCATCTTCCTGTTTCCTGCCACACCCTTCTGTGGCTACTACGGCAGTTGCCAGGTCAAACAAGGAGGTGAAAGCTGACTACTCAGGTGGCATGATGTGTGCTTCTCACTCAGTACTGAGTGATGCATGGGATGGAACCTCTGTTCTCTTCTGAGGTGCGCTTGCATTGTGGAAACATGTGGGTCCTTACCAGGCAACCTTATCGGCTACAGTCCCAATCAGCCTGTCCAAGCCACCTTC